CCCTAATAGCAATTTTACATTCACAGTTGAAATAGATCAACATAAAAGATTTAAAAAATTCCGCCTTAAACTCTAAAAAAACCCATAGAACTTATTTCCCTATGAATCAAAACCTGCAAAGTAAAAGATTGTCTTTGCTTACATTCTGGCCTGCCCCTGTTAAGCATTGTTTCTCCTTTCTTTGTCCTCCTACCATCTTCTCTGTTCCTCTGGTGACCACCCCCAACCCAAAACAAGTTACTGTTCCTGAATTGACAGCAGAAACAGCAATTCTATTATTTATATAAATTCAGTAAATGCTTACTGAGTGTCCAGTGTTGATTCATTCTTGCCATAAATATGTATTGAGTGCCTACCACATGCCAGGTACCATTGGAGAGGGCAGAGAAAGAGAGACAGAGACAGAGACAGAAGAAGGAGAAGAAGAAGAAGAAGAAGAAGAAGAAGAAGAAGAAGAAGAAGAAGAAGAAGAAGAAGACAGGAAAAGAGGGAAGCAGGGAGGGAGAGAAAATTCTTGGAGCCTTGGGTTATGAATCACAATCCACGGTCTTCTCAAAACCTATTTTAAGAAGAGATTACAGTCTAATATAGGGGAGAAGAAGCATAGAATGATTACAGCAAGGGGTGTCGTGAGTGTTGTGGGAGAGAAAAAAAGTGCATGCTGTGTGAGGGCTTCAGAAGAGGGCTGCAATGTTGTTTTCAAGCAGTTCTTTTTTTTTTTTTTCTTGCCTTTTAAAATTTCGAACCCCTATTCAGCCTACCAAATATCTTTAAAATATATAAATCAGGACATTTCCTGTTGTAGGTAACTGAAACCCAACACGAACTATTGGTCTGTGAAATAGAAAAGATCATGGCACTTCAGGCAAATTCAATCCCAATGCCCAAATGATGTCATCAAAACTCAATCTCTTCCTCTATCTCCTCTGTTCTCAGAGTATCGGTGCTATCCTCAGCATATGCTCTTCACATGTTGGTTCCTAGCAGTTCCAGGCTTTCATCCTGAAAAAAGAGCTTCTCTTTCTCAAGGGTTGTTGGAGTGAGTTTTACTGGACTGACATGGTCTTGTGTCTGTCCCTAACACACTTGCTTTGCCCAGGGTGCTTGAGTACTGAAGTCTAAATGGGGCCATGGGGCATGAGATCCAAAGAGACCAAGAGAGGGGTGGCTTTGCAAAGGAAAATCTGGGTATGATTATCAGAAGAAAGCAGGCAAACCGACCTCCATCCACTATAATCAGTGTAGCTAATTACTTTTTAAAAAAATCTCCACTTTAATAAGTTTAGAAAGAGCAAGAGACTAAGTCTGTAAGATATAAAATCTGGACATTTTTCTAGCTTTTCTCAAGTTAGTCCCTCAATGTGAGTTTTATTCCTTGACCTGAAGTGTTATGCATTTCCTGATTTTAAGACAGATATTCAAAAACTAATTGCAAGGAGGTAAGACTTCTGAGTGTGTGTGGGGGTTTAACTGTTAAAATTTACTTAAAACTGAGTGGAACCTTAAATCCTCCTAAGAGTGGGGGTGGGGAGGAAACCACTGCACCCATAGCTAGAAATGGTGAAAATCTGAGCCCAAACAACGGTTGTGATAATGGAGAGAACATGACTAAGTCAGGAAATATTTAGGAAGTGGAATCATCAGGTCTTGGTAACAGGAAAAGAGAAGAAAAAAAGAAGACGAAAGATGATATGAGTTTCTGGATTGAAAAAACAGGGCTGATAGTGGTATTATCAATAAAGATATCAGATGAAGGAGGAAGATCAGGTTTGGGAGAAAAGAGGACAAAGTTGACAAGTTTCAGTTTTTTGTGTATTGAATTTGAGTAGTTTGAATTTGAGTATATTTGAATTTGAGATTAGTATCTCAGAAAAGACACAGGTTATAGGCAGGGACAGAGGTGACTAAAATAATCAAATAAATGATAGAATCATGGGATCAGACAACTTCTACTATCAAAAGAAAACATTTTAGGGCGCCTGGGTGGCTCAGTCATTAAGCGCCTGCCTTTGGCTCGGGTCATGGTCCCGGGGTCCTGGGTTCGAGTCCCACATCGGGCTTCCCTGCTCGGCGGGAAGCCTGCTTCTCCCTCTCCCACTCCCCCTGCTTGTGTTCCTGCTCTCGCTGTCTCTCTCTGTCAAATGAATGAATAAAATCTTTAAAAAAAAAAAAAAAGAAACGAAAACATTTTATAATATAAACATAAAAATTTAAAAACCAACAAATATTTACTCTTTGCCATTGTAGAACATAAAGATAACTTTTTGTAAAAAGCCCTTCTTTTCAAGGAGTTTTTATTCCTACATATACATCTTAATTAGTTTTGTTAGTTTACAATTGGTACATTAGATTTTCTTAATCTTCTTTGAAACAACTTCTGTTTTTTATTTTTTAATTGTAAAAGCAATATATGCTTTTTGTAAAGGAAATATAAGCAAAATATAAAGAAGAAAATTAAAATCACCTGTAATTCCACTTTGCAGATATAATCACAATTTTGGAGTATTTTTTTCATCTTTTTCTAATTACATTTTATACACAATTTTTTTCAGAGTTTTGATAACATACATATTTGCAGTTTTGTATTTGCTTTTTCATTTAACATTGTCTTGAGTATTTTCCATGTCATTAAAAAATCTTCATATTAATAATTTTCATGGTCATATAGCATTCTACCTATTGGACATTCATCTCCTTTCTGATGGACATTTATGTTGTTTCCAATCTTTTTTTTTTAAAGATTTTATTTATTTATTTGACAGAGAGAGACACAGCGAGAGAAGGAACACAAGCAGGGGGAGTGGGAGAGGGAGAAGCAGACTTCCCGCTGAGCAGGGAGCCCGATGCAGGGCTCGATCCCAGGATGCTGGGATCATGACCTGAGCCGAAGGCAGATGCTTAATGACTGAGCCACCCAGGCGCCCGTTTCCAGTCTTTCAATTTTATAGATCACGTGTTAATATTTTTCATATTTTGCCCATCTATGGTTTTGTAGAATAGAATTCTGAAAGTGGAACTAATGAATCAAAGTATGTAAATGTCTTTAAGTGTCTTGATACATAATGCCAAATTTTAATTTCCAGTAAGCTGGTAGTAATTAATGCTTCTTTCCAGCAAGCAATAGGAGAATCTCTGTCACACTTACCAGGAGTGAGATGTCTAATTTAAAACAAACTTTACTAATTTGACTAATAAGACATTACATTATTATGGTTAAAAATAAATTATATTGGGTGAAAGAAGCCAGACCAAAAAAAAAAAAGAGTATTCTGAATGCTAATATTTATATAGAACTCTGGAAAATGGGAACTCCAAATGATAGAAAGCAGATCAGTGGTCACCTGGGAACCAGGGATCAGGTAGCAAGAGGGAGGAATTATCAAGGGGCAAGAGGAAAGTTTTGGGGATGATGGATATGTTCACTATTTTGATTGTGGTGATGTTTTCATGGGTGTATGCAATTGTGGAACTTACCAAATTGTACACTTTGAAAATGTGCAGTTAGTTGTATATCAATTCTCTTCAATAAAGCTGTTTAACAATTGTTTAAAAATATTGTTTTAATCTGACTTTAAAAAATTATTGTGTGAACATTTTCACGTTTTTAAAAAAGATTTATTTGAGAGAGAGAGGGAGAGAGAGAACGAGTGCGGGAGGGGTAGAGGGAGAAAATCCCCAGCCCAACTCCCAGCTGAGTGGGAGTTGATTCCAGGAACTTGAGACCATGACCTGAGCCAAAATCAAGAGTCAGCTGCTCAACTGACTGAGCCACCCAGGTGCCCCACATTTTCACATTTTAGTTATGAGCATACAGTTCTGTGATTTTTTGTGTTCTTTATGAATGTTTCTACATTCTAAGGTGGAGACCTTAGCACTTTTCTCCTGGATTTGTGAACTCTACACCTTATGAAAATTCACCCTCAGAGTTCTCCAGATTTCTTTTCTCTTGTAATTTTGCACTCTGTTACTGCATGCTTTTGGGCTTCATTTATTTGTGCAAGATAATTTTATTTATTTTTTTATGTGCAAAATAATTTTAACCTAGAGGATGTACTACAACCGTACAAATCTCTAAACTACAATAAATTGTCCATTATCACTTTGCAAAACCAAAAAAAATCTTTTAAACAAAATTACATCCAAGGCCGTCAGAATTGGATCTAAAATATATTGCACGTCTGTTTTGATGTTTTGGAACTATTTTTTAAGTTACTATGACATAGTAAACAGTGGAGATGAAGGACCTTTTTAAACAAAAATTATACGACAGCACCCTGGCAGTTTGGCCAGGAGTCCTTTTGCTTACAGTGGCGCGGAACAATTCCCTTCCCTGACTTTCTTGGGCTCCTCCTTTGGCGGCTTACACAGGAAACTAAAGATGGGTAATGCCACAGATGAGCTCACGCTGGCATGACGTCAAGAATCCTTGACGTCAGAAGGCGGTTGCCACGGGGACCATTCGCCACCGACGGCAGAGTCGTGAAACCTCATCACCGCACTCGGCTCTCTTTCGGCCTATGCAGGGTCTAAGCTGCTAAAGAAGCTTTAACCTTAAGGGGGCCTCAGGGAGAGAAGAGTTGTGCTGCTGCCGCCGAGAGCCCCACCTCCGCGGCTCCGGGTCCCGGGTCCTGGCCTGTGGCTGCGAGCGGCGGCTTCAGGAGGCAGCGGAGGCGGCGGCGACCGACCTGCCGGGTCTCCCCCGCTCCGTGCAGGACTGGGAGAGGGGATCCGCCATATTGGAGCCGGAACCGAAGGTGCCTTGCAGCCGCAGCGCGAGGCGGGTGGCAGTGGCGGCTCTGGCCTGGATGTGAGCGGAGTCGGCTGCGCTGGGGCCCGCAAGCCTGGGGAGTGAATGAGCTGCTTACGCTAGTATCCTCCCCGCCCACTCTCTCCACTTTCCGCCGCCGGGGCCGGGGCCGGACCGGGAGGGGGCTGGAGTCGGCCGTGGCGGCGGCGGCGGCGGCGGCGGCGGCGGCGGCAGCGGCAGCGGCAGCGGCAGGATGTTCTCCAAGAAGCCGCACGGGGACGTGAAGAAGTCTACCCAGAAGGTGCTGGATACCAAGAAGGACGCGCTGACCCGTCTCAAGCACCTGCGCATCGTCATCGGTGAGGAGCGAGGGGTGGTGGCGCCCAAAGGCCTTCCCTCCTCTGGGAGCCCCTGGGGACTCTCCCGCCCTCCCTGGCTCTGTGCGGGAATAGAGGGCGAGGCGTCGCCTCCGCAGAGACGCGGGAGGGCGGATAATTTGGGGAAGGGAAAACTTGGCAGTTGACAGATACTAATCACCACCGACACAGGGTTACCTAATTTTGAGTTAATAGCCGAGCTCATTTTTACAAACTAGCATTACTCTAAAAATTTAGATCTTTTTTAGACTTTCCGGAGGCTTGGTGTTGTCGATAATGGTGTTTATAGAATATGTATGTCAGGTGACTACCGCCGTCCCCATCCAAGTGGGGGGAAAAAAAAACCCTAAACTCAAACAGTATAAACCTTAATCTTGCAAGTTTCTTGGCTACTGAGGGCGAGGAAGCAGTTACACCTCTGGGAAGTGGCTGGTTTCCAAAAATCTTAGGGCAAGAGCCCCGCCCTTCTCTTAAATTACCTTGTTCATCATTACTGTCACTTAGAGGGAAGATTATTATTAATTACAGAAAACAAAGTCGTTTATAACTTCCTTTGCTTCTTGAAAATTGCATACAATTCTGGTTTTCTTTAGTGAAAATTTTCTGTTGCCTCTACATCTCTGGCTGGCAGACCAAATAGTGCTCCGAGTTGTGGTAATAGGGTTAAACGAATCTTTTGAATACTTGCTCATTTCGTATAGGCTGATAAGGGCTGTAATGATATTTATGGAACACCCGGTCCAGGACTTTGATCTTTTTAGATGGAATTTGAGGTGAAAAGGAAAGTTACTATGCTTGTGTTGGTACAGAGAGTTATTGGCAGGACTAAGTTTAGAACCCAGATGCCTGAGTCCTAGTTCAGAGTTTATTATCCTAAGCTCTCTTTCTAATGAGTATTTTTCTGAAAAGTGACGTTTAATTAGTGAAGTAAGTCCTGTATTTGAGCTGTGTGTTTCTCTGTTGTTTATTCATACCATCAGGATACTACCACCACCATTTGTATGGTTTACAAAATGATTTCACATAAATTATAATTAATCCTCACAGTAACTATAGAGGTAGATATTATTATACTCCATATTTTACAAATGACAAAGCTGAGGTTTGGTAATGTTAAGTAGTCATCCAGCTACTAGGAGACCAGAACTGGAGCCCAGATTTCATATCTCCAGTTTGTTTTTTTACTCTTCCTACATTTATGACAGCAAATCTTTATCACAAGTAAGTTGTATTTATTTCTGTGGAATAAGAAAACAGTTAAATCCAGTTTAGTAGTATAAAAAGAGATCCAGTTTTCAAAAAAATATAAATCTTCTAAATATAGTTGAGACTGTGATCTTTTTATTTTCATTCTACTTGAGAGTTTAAGTCATTGAAGAAAAGGTTTGGCTGAGAGTGCAACAGAGAAAGTCAGTGTGTGAATGTAGATGTTCACAGATAATGGCCGTTTAAAATTGGAGACTTTATGGAATTTGACACCTACTTGGGACAAACTGTAGGTTGAGTAAAGTCAGAGCTATAAAGTTGAGTTCCAATAGAGTATTGACATTTCCTAAATTAACTGCTGTATTCTTTAGTTATAGATTGGTTAGGGAATGGTTCCTACATACTTCTTGGGCATAAAAGTGTTTTCCATCTGTGTGACATGGTCTAAATTAAGAGGCTAGACGTGTTAGATATTTTGTAGGGTCTAGCTTCCTTGGTTTGAAAACAAAACAATAAAAAAAACCCTTTTTGTTTTTTATTAATTTATAGGCTTTTTAAAAAATGGAGCATATACTATATATAAACACTTAAAATATCCTTAAGAACCTTCAACTAGAGAATATTGTGCTTTCAGACTCTCTGCCCTGTCAGTGGATGAGGTCCATACAGAGAGATTACAGCACTTCAGTACTCTTATTTTTATTTATTTATTTTTAATATTTTATTATATTATATTTTATTTATTTTTAAAGATTTTATTTATTTGAGAGAGAGAGAATGAGAGAAGAGAAAGCACGAGAGGGAAGAGGGTCAGAGGGAGCAGACTCCTTGCTGAGCAGGGAGCCCGATGTGGGACTCGATCCCAGGACTCCAGGATCATGACCTGAGCCGAAGGCAGTTGCTTAACCAACTGAGCCACCCAGGCGCCCTTATTATATTTTATTTTAATTCCAGTGTAGTTAACATACAGTGTTATACTAGTTTCAGGTAATGTGTAATATAGTGATTCACCAATTCCATATATTACTCAGTTCTCATCAAGGTAAGTATACTCAATCTCCTTCACCTATTTCATCCATCTCCCCCACCCACCTCCCCAGTAAACATGTTTGTTCTCTATAGTTAAGAGTCTGTTTTTTTGGGGGTGGGGGCGTCTGGGTGGCTCAGTCAGTTAGGCATCTGAATCTTGATTTCAGCTCAGGTCATGATCTCAGGGTTGTGTGATTGAGCCCCACATCGGGCTCCACTGAGCTTGGAGCCTGCTTGAGATTGTCCTTCTGCCCCTCCCTTCCAGTTCATGAGAGTGCTCTCTTTCTCTCACCAAAAAAAATAATAATAATTTTTTTTTTTTTTGGTTTGTCTCTTTTTACACTTCAGTAGTTTTAGACCAGTAGTTCTCAACCAGGGACAGTTTTGTCCCTCTGGCAATATTGGCAATGTCTGGAGATACTTTTAGTTGTCACAAATAGGGGGAGAGGCTACTGGCATCTAGTGGGTTGCAGATATGCTGCTAAATATCTTACATTGCTCAGGATAATACATCACAACAATATTCTAGCTCTAAATGCAGTGCTGAGATTTAGAAACCTTGAAAGATGGGTCTCCAGGTGTTGTACTTGTTATGGAAAGAACCTAAATGTCCATCAACTGATAAATGGATAAAGTGGAATATTACTCAGCCATAAAGAACGAAATCTTGCCACTTGCAACAGCGTGGATGGAGCTAAAGTATATTATACTAAGCAAATTAAGTCAGTCAGAGAAAGACAAATACCATATGATTTCACTCTTGTGTGGAATTTAAGAAACAAAACAGATGAACGTAGGGGAAAGAAAAAAAAGAGAAGGAGGCAAACCATAAAAGAGACTCTTAACAATGGAGAACAAACTGAAGGTGGCTGGGGGGATGGGCTAAATGGGTGATGGGTATTAAGGAGGGCATGTGTTGTGATGAGCACTGGGTATTGTATGTAAGTGATGAATCACTAAATTCTCCTGAAACTAATATTACAGTATATGTTAACTAACTAAAAACTTGAAACAAAAAAACAGAACAAAACAAAAATAAATGTACATTGTTTTTATTATATTAATTGAATAAAATATTCTGTATCTTTAAATGGTTACAGTTATTTTGTTTGAAATATGGTTAATGTAATTCCTAAGAAAATGACTGTGAAAAAGTAGAGTGACAAAAACTATAAGGTGTCTTAGAGGTGCACCAATCAGGTACCTTATTTTGCAGGTGGAAGAGCCATTTCAAATCCTGTATTTATTTTTTCTAAAGATTTTATTTATTTATTTATTTGACAGAGAGACAGCAAGAGAGGGAACACAAGCAGGGGGAGTGGGAGAGAGAGAAGCAGGCTTCCCGCCAAGCAGGAAGCCCGATGTGGGGCTCGATTCCAGGACCCTGGGATCATGACCTGAGCCGAAGGCAGATGCTTAGCGTCCCCATTTCAAATCCTTTCTGGAAGTAGGTGCGAGTTTTACATAAAAACATTGTGAGGAAACTAGTTTGCAAAGTGGGCATTGCCAGTTACACAGGATTTTTATTTTTGATTGGTTCCATCTGAACTATATTTTTAACCCTTAAAATGAATTGCCATTCAGGGTATTTAGAGAGAATTCAGTGCATCCAAATATATGAGAACATAATTTAAACATCCAGTCTAAACCTTTTTCCTGCCATGTGTTCCTAAGGGACACATGAGACGTTCCAGCTGAATTTTAAGAACTTGACTCTGAAGGACTTAGATTTAAATCTGTGTTTATTGATATTGCTGTATGTTTTATCTGTAGAAACTGGGAGTTAGAGTTTTTAAAAAACAGAAATAAAGCCTTGTCTAGTTTCAAAAGTTTTGTGTTATCCTCTCTCCCCTTCCCGTCCCCTTTTTTTCAATTAAAAGCCTTGAGATAATACACTAAGTTAGCACATGTAAGGTAGCTAACAATGCCTGCATATAGTGGATATTGACTAAGTGTTAATTTTCTTCTGTGGCAAGGTAAGTTCAGTCGTGATGATTTAAAAATAAGATGAGTTCTTATTCAGTTAAGAAATACACTGATTATTGTTGGATCATTCTTTCTAATAGCTTTATCGATATAGAATTGGTATACAATAAATTGCACATATTTAAAGCATGCAATTGAGTAATTTTGACATGCATATATACCTTGTGAAGCCATCGTGACAATTAAGATTAGGGACATAGCGAGACCTTCCAGGTAGCAATTTTATCTATAGCCTCCCAGAGTTTCCTTTTGCCCCTTGGTAATCCCTTTCTCCCACCCCTGCATGCACTCCATCCCCCCCATCTTCCCTTGGGCAAAACTTTGTGTGTGTGTGTGTATGGAATTACACAGTTGTGTGTGTGTGTGTGTATGGAATTACACATTATTTACTCTTTTTTGTTTGGTTTCTTTTATTCAGCCTTATTTGAAATTCATCTATATTGTTGTGTGGTGTGTCGGGAGTATATTGCTTCTTTGCTGAGTAGTATCCCATTGTTTGGATATGCCACAATTTGATAATCCATTCACCTGTTGATGGACATACGCATTTGCAGTTTTGGGCTATTACACATAAAGCTGTTGTGAGGTGTACTTGTTTATAGACACATGCTTTTTTCTCTCTTGGATAAATACCTAGGAGTGGAATGGCTGGATCACATAGTTGTGTGTTTAAATTTATAAGAAACTGCCATACTGTTTTTTATAATTTAACATTCTTACTAGCAGGGTATGAGAGTTCCATTTCTTCCACACAAGTACCA